CTATTATGTCACTACAGCAAACTTTATTCCTTAACCTTCATCCTTGAGCAGGAATTTGAACCCATTTCTTACCAGCCAAAATCTAACACTTTGTAATATACCGTAGTAACTTGACCAGTTCAAAGCCTCTTTGAATAATAATACACAGCCTAGAGAATGTTTTCTCTCCAATCAATTCATTAATCAGTTGGGAAGAAAGAAGCAACCCAGAAACATCTCACACCATGGGTTAGATTCAGCTACCCCTTTCCACTCGTGGAAGCCAGCACAAAGACTCCCACTCCCCAGGCCTGTGTCTCCCCTAAATCTGGTCAGGAGAGTCCAGAGAAGTGCCAGAACAGTACACTGGGGTGGAGGAGGAGAGGGGACATTACTCTGTTGGACAATGGAACAATGTTCTTAGTGCCACATTAAATTCCACCCATTGTGCTTGAGCTATGGAAAGCATGTTAGACATTGCAAGTTGGAAGAAATTATCCACAGTTTGTGTGTTTTGTTGGTTGGTTGGTTGGTTTTTAAGTGACAAAACATTGTGTTAGTTAGAAATAAATAAAACACTCTGTTCCCTGAGAGACTTGACATAGCAAAATTTGTAAATGGAATTTAGATATCCAGGTCAGTTGGGAAGTCAGGTAAGCTGCACAAAACTTTTCACATTTGTGCCGGCACTGTAGTGATTCACTGAGCAAAAACCACAGAAGTCAGCTGCCATTTCTATCTTTGGCTACATAGAAACATACCATTTGCTTAAACCGATAGCTGAGGGGAATTCCTTTCAGTTCTTCCTTCTAAACCAGTACTAAAGTAAGAGCAAATGTTCAGATGACCCCCATGATAGAACCAGGGTGTTGTCACTGCTGATCAGATTGATAAATAATCTATACATGCCTATTTTAATGTGCTTAATTTTTATTTTATTTTTAAAAAAGCTTGTATGATGCACAGAACCTGGCTAGATCTTCAGCAATTCCCTCCTGCAGCATTCTCTGTGTAGGTGTTAGCTGAATTGGCATAGAGCCCATTTAATTACCACACTAGCTGAACTTCTGCATCTGGGCTGAAATGCTGGAGTATTTTCTCAGTGTAATTAAAAAAAAATCAGCTCGTCTTGAGAGGCAGCACTTGCTTATATGTATTAAGAGCTTGGGGGGGGATCAATCAATAAAGTACTGTATGTTTATGCTCCTTGAGTTTCACATTTTCTCTTGGCCAAGGACTCTGCTTATGTGTACAGCACAATATTTCTTTCTATAAGGGAGGAAATGTGAGCCAATTCCAACATTAGCTCCGAAACAGTATTCCTTAGCTGGAACCATAATACAACGTGACACAGAAGATTGACTTGGAACTCTTGGGATGGTTCCACTGCTTGTTTGGCTCATGAGCTTGTTTTGTTGCAAACTGAATACATATCTCCTCTTTGCACAATATATGGTTCTACATGGATTTCATCTCAAGTTGACTGGGAGGGGGGAACCCTGCTTTCTGTACAAGAAGAACACCCATCCTGCAGACTGTTGTAATTAATAGCTCGTTTAAAATATATCCTTCTTGGGAAGAGACTTAAGTAGGTGGTTGTCAGGAACCTAGGCTGCCATCTTGATAACACAGCATGCAAGTCGTAATTAGCTTGAAGATTTATTGAAATACAATTAGCCTTGGATGTCTAACCGAGCGCCCGTGCCTTATGAGTCAGTTGAGTGCTTCCTGGTTCTGCAGAATATCCTGAACATATGACCCTTGCGTTTCTTGTTTTGTTTCCTGTCTAATACCTTTCCCATACGTCTATTCCTTGGGCTTAGGGGATTTATTGCTTCTTCTTCCGGTGAGGAAAAACTGCGCCTCCTGCTTTCTGAAGCTGCCTGTGTTTCTTGAGCAGGCTGACTTCTCTCCCTCCTTCTCTCTCCTGACACCTTATCTACATTCCATTCTGTGTCAGGTGGAGGGGCAGGGGAACTGCTTACAGCTGTCTGACTGCTTCCAACTCATGTTCTGTTTCTATACTGGGGGCAGATGTGTTCATGACAGTGGTGGCCCAACAGCTCTTAATGCTCTTGGACAGGGGTAACTACTGTAGTGCCTTCCAAAGATTGTTAGACTACAACTCCCATAATCTTCAGACAGAATAGCTAATGGTGTGGGGTGATGGGAGTTGAAGTCAAAGAAGATCTGGAGGGCACCATGTTGGCTGTCCCATGCTCTTGGATAACATCAGTTATCTGGATTAATTTCAACCTGCTTTCAGGCTGAGGTTTGGCACTAAGATAGCTTTGGTCATTCTGCTGGATGAAAGACAAAGGGAATATTACATGGTTAATTCTCTTGGACATCTCAGCAGCTTTCAGGGCTACTGTTCATTATATTCTTACAGCCTGGAGATGGGCACATTGTGCTCCTGTTGTTCTGCTACAGTGTTTCTATTGGAATGGCCATTTCCAGAAGGTCCTAGGAGACTATAGCTTTGTTCCAGCTACAGTATGTCAAACTTAGCCTGAAGGAGATATTGATCTGGCTCAATGGCCAGATTCTGTTCTCCACCCCTAATCAACATGAAACTACTGAGTGAAATCTTCTGTGGAATTATAGTGAAGCATCATCAATATGCTTATGACACCACACTCCTCACCTCTCTTCTGTTTTTAATCACATTTTTTATCACATTCAGGTGATGTTGTGAAATGTTGAACTGCTGCCTGAGATCGGCAAATGAGTGGGTGAAGACTGATAAATTGATGTTCAATGCAGATAAGGCACAGGTGCTGTTGAGTGGGTGGCCAATCTGTTCTAGGTGGGATTGGGTGCTATTGGATCTGGTCCTATATGCGGTGCCCCAAGTATATTACAAAAAGTCTTTCACTACCCAAGTCCCTTTCTGCCTCAAAATAGCCCGGCCAGTTATCCATCCATGCTTTGGTAACATTTCGTTTGGGCTACTGCAGTGCATTATATGTGGGGCTGCATTTGAAGACCAGAAATGGCATTTGGTTAAAACAAGCAAACACTTGTGGCAAGCTTGTTCACTTGGGTTGGGTGAAGAGGACATATCTCACTAATTTCAAATGAGCTACACTGGTTTCTAACCCATGCTTGTGTAATCTCTAATGCCTCAAATGGTTGGGTATCTAGAAGGACCAGCTTCTCCCACATGAATGTTTCCCCAAATTAAGATCCTCCTCTGATGCCATTCTCTGGGGTCTCTCACTTGTATAGATGAGGCAAGTACTGCCTACAGACAGGTCCCTTTGGTTGTGGAGCCCTGACTATGGAATTCCCCCTCCAGGAAGACACTCCTTCTGTCTGATCTCTTTTTATTACCCCTTTGATTCACCTTAGCCTTTCAGATTTATTCATTTATCTGTTTCAGTGCTGACATTTTATCTACCCTTTTGTTGGATTGTGCTTTTGGTGAATTTTTAGTTTTCATTATGTAATAGTACTTCTTATCATCTTTGGGGAGCCTCTCACCTGCAAAAAACACTGAATGAATAAATGAATATGCCCAAGACCGTATTTGGGTTATCTTTTTTAACTTGCCCTTATTTTCAATACATATATCAACATTTGGGCTCTGTATTTTTGTTGGTATGTATTTGTGTCACAGTTAATAGACCTTTTTGTTTACACAAACCACAGCTTACACAGTGTTTTCTAATAAACAGTATTTTTTATCTGCATTCTACAGTATCTAAATTCAACTAGATAAGCCATTCAAACATCGGCTTTAGATCCATTTCAGTCCGGTTTCCGTCCTGGTTTTGGGACCGAGACGGCTCTGGTTGGCCTAACAGATGATCTCCGTAGACAACTGGATCGAGGCGGGTCAGGACTGCTGATCCTTTTAGATTTGTCAGCAGCCTTTGACATGGTCGATCATGATCTTCTGGACCACCGCCTCGCAGACGTGGGGATACAGGGCATAGCCCTTAACTGGCTGTGCTCTTTTATCTCTGGTCGGGGACAGAGGGTGGCACTAGGGAGGGAAATGTCGTCGCGCCATTCCTTGGTGTGTGGAGTGCCGCAGGGCGCAATTCTCTCCCCAATGCTTTTTAACATCTTTATGCGCCCCCTTGCCCAGATTATCCGGAGCTTTGGGCTGGGCTGTCACCAATATGCTGATGACACTCAGCTCTATCTGCTGATGGATGGCCACACCGACTCGGCCCCGAACACACTGACCAGATGCTTGGAAGCTGTGGCTGGATGGTTTCGTGGGAGCCGCTTGAAACTAAATCCTTCGAAGACAGAGGTCCTATGGCTGGGTCGGGATGGCATGGGGATGAGGGACCAACTCCCTTCTCTTGCGGGGGCCCAATTAGTGCCATAGCCTTCCGTTAAGAGTTTGGGTGTAATCCTTGATGCCTCCCTTTCCATGGAGGCGCAAGTTACAGCAACAGCCAAGGCGACATTTTTCCACCTTCGCCGCATCAAGCAATTGGTCCCTTACCTTTCCCGCCCCAACCTGGCCACAGTGATCCATGCGACGGTCATCTCCAGGCTTGACTACTGTAATTCGCTCTACGCAGGGCTGCCTTTGAAGCTGACCCAGAAACTCCAGCGGGTGCAGAATGCTGCAGCGAGGCTCCTCACGGGGTCTCTGCCATGGGAGCATATTCACCCAGTGATTTTCAAACTGCACTGGCTCCCGGTCGAGTACAGGGTCAGATTTAAGGTGCTGCTTTTGACCTTTAAAGCCCTTCACGGCCTAGGACCCTCGTACCTACGGGACCGCCTCTCCCGGTATGCCCCACGGAGAGCCTCAAGGTCCATAAATAGCAACACCCTAGTGGTCCCGGGCCCTAAGGAAGTTAGATTGGCTTCAACCAGAGCCAGGGCCTTTTCAACTCTGGCTCTGGCCTGGTGGAATGCTCTGCCTCATGAGACCAGGGCCCTGCAGGATCTGATTTCTTTCCGCAGGGCCTGTAAGACAGAGTTGTTCTGCCTGGCCTTTGGCTTGGAGCCAATTTGATTCCTTCCCTCTCTTTCTCTTTTCCTTTCCTTCTCCTCCTGCGATGAGGCTACATTTTAATATTTTAATGTTTCAATATTTTAATGTTTCAATATTTTAATGTTGTATTTTAATTTTGTTTTTAAGTTGTAATCATTCAACTGGTTTTTATTATTGCTTGTAAGCCGCTCTGATACAAAAATAAAGGCTCACAAATAAGCATATTGAACGCAAATGTTAATAAACAAAAGCATGGGAGAATTTGGACTATGACTATGACAGTAGCATGCAGGAAACGAGTTTTCCCGGTAGACGCTCCCTGCCCCAATGAACCCTACTGTCTGTCCCAAGGGGGGAAACCTCCAGATTGCCATGTGGTCTTACAATTATGGTAAAGGTAAAGGGACTCCTGACCATTAAGTCCAGTCGCAGACGACTCGGGGCTTGCGGCGCTCATCTTGCTTTACTGGCCGAGGGAGCCGGCATTTGTCCACAGACAGCTTCCGGCCAGCATGACTAAGCTGCTTCTGGCGAACCAGAGCAGCACACAGAAACACCATTTACCTTTCCGCTGGAGCGGTACCTATTTATCTACTTGCACTTTGACGTGCTTTCAAACTGCTAAGTTGGCAGGAGCTGGGACCGAGCAACGGGAGCTCACCCCGTCGCGGGGATTCGAACCACTGACCTTCTGATAGACCACAGCACCACCCACGTCCCCAGTGCCACCTGCGTCCCAGTTAGGTTAAATACTTTCAAATGGATCAATGTTGTGTTTCAGTACTTTATTATGCAGAGTTGCAGTACTAGTGAGATAATTCTGTACGAAACATTGGTTGGTGGCTATTCTTGATTATGTCTGATTTTCAGGGTGCTCTGATTTTTGGAATGTGTTGAGAAGGGGAGAAGGATTTTGCCATGATCTCACCACATCCCTTCCTAGCAGCCAGATATTTAGCCTCAGTGAGCCCTATGTGCAGTGTAGACAATACAGTGTAGATGGACTAATGTTCTTAAGTGTGTGTAAAGCACTGCATGGCTAATCAAATGTTTCTTCATCAGGATCAAGTGAACTTGCAGATTTCTATAATACAGTTATAACTTGAATGTCATTCCCAAACAGATAAAAGAGATTTTTGTTCAGCACAAAAGGGGTGGGATTCTTAAAAATCTGTTAGATATACTGTAACTCCATGCTGCAGTGAGCATTAAACTGCTGTTGTGACATGAATGAAACTCTTTCTTTGTCACTACAGATACTCTTCTCCATGCATCCATGACAGCATATAAGTAGAAAATAATTATCCATTAATTCTAGGAAATATAATTTTACCCCTCTTCCAAAACAAAGCTTTTCATTCTTTTACCTTAATATTTATGTAATCTCCACTTTATTAAATATGTCAGTGTTGCTGGCTTGTAAGCTATTGTACATTAATTTTTAAAGTGTTTTAATACACAAATCTATCTAGCAAACATGCTGATTTATTCCAGACTAGTATTTGGATTCAAATGTATAATGTGAGATGTTGCTGCCTTTTAAATTTTGGAATAGTTGTGCAGTGCAGTCCTATCTACTTAGACATAAGCCCCCCTCCCCCACTTCAATGGGACATCTTCTGTAAGACACCCCTATACACACACACATGGGGATTTTACTGTGAGTTTTCTTGGAGAATTTTAAAAAGTGCTATTAAAAACAAATGCAAAGCATGTGTTTATATCGTTTTCGCAGCCACCTGTTCCAACTGGGTCATTTGCATTTGGCTTTTCTACCCACAAAGATGATTTTCTGGGAAGTAGCAGTAACTCATATTTATAGATCCTCTGGTTTTTTTAATTACTGTTAATCTGGTCAACATGCTGGCTTCCAGTAATTATTGCACAGTGAACATGAAGTTGGAATTATCATTCAGTGAGTTTACATGTTCAACTGATGCACGTACTTTTTGCTGTCAAAGCTTTTCCCTTCAGCATTTTGATGTCACATATGCTTAGTTACATTTCTTCTACATACATTTCTTATGTGGAAATGCCCCCTTTACGGGAGACCTGATGGTAAAACCAGCATGTGAAAACAAGGAATAACCAGCTGCTTGTTGATGTAACACTGTGGGAGCAAGCTGAAATCTAACAGTTGGATTGCTAAACTAAGGTCTAACAGACAGCACCAGCAACCTTACTGCACATGCACCGCTAAAGGCAATACTGAAGGGCAAGCAAAATAATACGTTAGATTCCCACAATCATATGCTTGAGATCAGAACTGCATCACCCAAGCCGTGTGCTGGTAGCCAAAACTGTAAGCCACCATGAGGCAACCCATGCAATACGTTAGCCGCAAGAACTGCACCCCCAAAGCCAAAAAGCAAACTTGCAAGCTAAATACAGTAATATGTTAGATTACATCCAGGCGCATCACGCTTGAACCAGGAATCACCTGCACAACGCACCCTGAGGAGGGCTGAAAATAGGTGGTTGCTAGTAATTGACTGCTTTCAAGCTACTGGTAATAACTTTAATTAAATTGGAAAGTGAGGAACAGCAACCATATTTGAAACACACAATTATGGAGTTCGAAGGGACCTTGAGCATCATCTAGTCCAACCCCCTGTAATGCAGGAACACGCCACTGACCCAAGTGAGGACTGGACCTATGACTTGGTATTATCAGCACTACACTCTAACCGAGCTATCTAGTGGTCCTGTATAAAATTAAACCAATTGAACAACTGAATGAAATGCAAGAAAAAACCCAGATGCTTAAACCCCCAAGCGCACAAAGCAGCCAGGGAAGAACAAGGGGTATAAACTTAATTAAAATGAATCCACAAGGCCACTACCACTGTTTATCATTTAATGATTGCCAAGAGTACCTCTATAATAAATTCCTGCAGACGCAACTTTAATGAAATAAACCAAAATGAAAAGCTAAAGCAAATGAATTAATTTAAACCAACAGCAATACTTATGAGTATCTGCAGGTCTTAAACAATGAACCAAAAGACTAACCACCTCAGACTGCGAAAAGCCCTCCAGGCAGCCCATGATTACAAATAACACACACAATGGAGGCAAATTAACAGTAAATGAACCAGGCAGGAACCATCAACAGCAATCAAACGTGAAGTGGGGTGGAGGGTTGCAAACCAAGGGGTGGGAGGTTGCAATTTTTTTTTACAAAATGCACCAATAATATCTACGCCTTCACAGTGTCACAGGTAATATTCAGTATCTGGATATATAAAAACACTGTTATAAATGTTATATCAATATGCTCTAAATCAGGGGTCTCCAAACTAAGGTCTGCTGGCTGGATAAGACCTGAGGGACTCATTTATCTGGCCCGCGGTGACCCCCGCTGCTGCTGCCCGCTCTTACCGGAGCTGCGCTGCGCAGCTGCCCACTTCTGGGTCGGAGGAGCACCGGAAATAGCTTGTGCACATGCGCAAGGGTTATTTACGCATGCGCAAGCGTTATTTCTGGTGCACATCCGGGTCGGAGGAGGCCCGTGCACATACACACAAGTTATTTCTGGTGCTTCTCCAACCCAGACGTGTGTCGGAAATAGCGCGTGCTCACGTGTATGGGCACGCGCTCCCCCACCCTCCAGACCGCCGCACGATCAGCGCTGGAGACACCGGCCCGAGGCGCGGTACGTTTGCTGACCCTTGCTCTAAATTATTCCCTCGCAACGTGTGCAGTGACTGCTGAGACTGAAAGCAGCAACAGCAACTGCCCTTAAGCTGACCCTCGCCCCACCCCCAGCCTGCTGCCCATAGGCCTGCCGAGATGGGGGCAGGGCGATGGTCTCTCTGGAACAAAGGCTCACCTGTTCCAGGTGCCCACACGGTGTCGCAAACCCTGCCCACCCAAGGGTTGGGGCGAGCAGATATTATGGAGTGCTGATACTTCATGACTAAACAGTACAGTGGTACTTCTGGTTGTGAAAGGGATCCGTTCCAGAGCCCCGTTTGCAACATGAGCAGAACGCAACCCGCGTCTGCACAAAATCGTGGGTCGTGATTCGCTGCTTCTGCGCATGCTGTCATTTTGAGCGTATGCGCATGCGCGAGCGGCGAAACCCAGAAGTAACCCTTTCCGGTACTTCTGGGTCGCCGCGGGACACAACCTGAAAAGACGTAACCTGAACTGAATGTAACAAGAGGTATGACTGTAGATGCAACAACCCTCCTATGACCTTCCTTGAAAGTTGAGCCAAACAGGTGACTGCAGAGACTTACCAGAATTCTTTTTGGGAACCTCCTGTAGTACAGCTTCTCAAACACTAATACATGCTTTGTAAAAGGTATCTGTGCCTAACACATCCTGTTGCCTGCTGAGTTAAGTTCTTTAAAACTGCTTCTTAAAACAGCTCCTTGCTGTGTGGAATTGCTAGTCTGGATGCTGCCTGCCTTCTCTTAATTCTTTCTTTGGGCAAGATTTTCATTCTGCTGCCAAAAACTGTTTTTTCTATGTCCTTTATAACAACTGATGTCCCTGCACCATCTGGAGGGATCCTTGGAAGTTTAGCTTTAGGTTCCAAGGCAGTGGAATAAGTGCTCTGCTGCAAGGCAACTGGTGACTGCCAAGTCTCACAGCCTGGTGGAGTACCACAGATGGATTTGAAGGTTTGACCTGGACATTTCAGAGGCTCTCCTTCTCTTCAGGAAAAAAAATGAGAAACTGAAAATGACAAATCTGCCTATCCTTACCCACAAACACAACAAAACTCTGCCTTCTTCTACCCCTATCTTGGGCATTTAGCTGTATTTGGCAGATAATTCATACCAGAAAACTTATTCAAATAAGGATAGCCTCCCTCCCACAAAAAAGAACAGCTAACAAGTCTACCCCCCACTTTCCTTTCCTTCCCTTTTACCCCTGCTTTACCAAACAGCTTGAGGTAAAGCAAGAAGCATTCTCGTGCTGTGGCATGGAAGGAGAAACCCTCCTGTTGTCTGCAAACTGCTTTGACTCACCTCTTAAGCCAAAGGAGTATAATACTATTATGTCCTTTTCCATCCAAGCAATAGAGGAGTGCCATCTGTGCATCTGCCAGCCAGGGCAAACATCAGGAGTTGCACCCTGGAGTACCTGCCAAGGCTCACAATAAGGGGCCCATTGCTGGAGCCCAACCCTGCCTTCTCCCCTCTTTGCTATCACTGCCTGTTCACTGGTTTGCTCTAACCAACCAGCTATGCAGGACAGGAGCAAGGAGCCTCTGCTCATATTGCTCTCTCCCTCTGGAAGGAGGGCAGGGTTTTGACCGGCTCCAGCTGAGACTGCTGAACAGACTCCAGTGTTGTTGTTGTTGTTGAGGGGTTGTTGCTGCTGTTGTTGGGTTTTTATATCTTTATTTTAATATTGTAATTTATGTCATGAAACTAAAGGCAGTCATCTATCCAGGCACTGAAACCCAGACCAGCTTAACTTAAGCAAGAGGGTGACTTTATGTGCCTTCTGACCATGCATTGTTTTGATTATTTTGTCATTGTGACGATTGATGGGTTGGAAATATAATTAATTCAAAATTCAGACATTACCAAACATTATGGTAGCTTGGTCTAAAAAACTGAATGCAAGTCCAGAGACATTTGAGGCATGTACTCACAGCAAAGTGTTTCTGTTTTCTTTTTTCATGGCTTCTGACCTGTGGAGATAGTGACAGCCATCCTTATGGGAAATGGCAAGGATCAGGGATATAGTTGAAGTGAGCTTGAAAAGCTGTATTACAGAAGGAGCCACGATTGCTTTCCTGGAAAGTGATGCTTTTAGTATTTGTTGTGGTTCACAGACTAATGGACTGGATGAATACCAGCCAACTGAACCCCCACCTGCTGCTCAGACTGTATACACAGTGTGTGCATTGCAAGGGAATGTAGCTTAGCTGTAGAGCCCATGCTTAGCATGCAGAGTCCCAGATTCAATCCCTGACATCTCGAGGGAGGCTGGAGAAAGACTCCTGTCAGAAGTCTTGCAAAGCCACTGCCATTAATGCAGACATACTGAGCTACATGGACCAATTGTCTGTGACTTGGTACAAGGCAGCTTCCTGTGGATCCCAGGTAATAAACATAGACTGTCATTTCAAGGCCTGAGGTGAATTGGTAATTGGTGTACGCTTCACCTGATTTTCTCCTCAATTTTTGGCTGTTTTTAACTCTACTTTATAGCCCCAGGCCCTGATTTCCAGTGCTTAAAAACATCCAAACTTTATGATTTCCACTCATACAGATCAAGGGGTCAGGGGCGTCTTACCCATAGACGTTAGTGGCGCGGGGCGCCAGGGCACCAGATTTTGGAGGGCGCCACAAGCTGAGTGTCCAGAAAGGAGAGTCAGAGCGCGCTCACTTCCCCACTCTGGGGCAGCCCGCTCCTCTTCTCTCAGCCCCCCCTCCCTCCGCGACTCCCACACGAACTACTTGCAAGCTAAGTGGCAAAGCATTGGCAAGCACCGTCCCCCTGCAGTCGGCACCCCCGATGGGTGGCTGGCCACGCCAATCGGCACCCCCGGTGGGTGGGCGGATGGTGCGGCTGCACCAATTGGCAGCCCCCTCCCCCTCCCCTCTCTGGCTGAGTCTCAGACAAGCCGCGGCAAAGCAGCTGCTGCGGCTCTCTCTCTCTCCCCCCCTCGCTGTAAGCTTGGGAGGGGGGGCACCCTTAGGGTGACATTCGGTGCCCCCTCCACCACTGAATCCATATAGAGGCGCAAACCCCAGAGCTTATCATCTCATTTCTTAGTGTTTAAACAACTTTCTTTTTTAAAATGCCCCTTAATTAAACAGTTGGTGCATTTCAAAAAGAAGCATGCCACTCCCCTCCCCACGTCTTTCTCCCTCATTTTCTTTCAGCACAAGCCTCTCTAGGCATTTGTCTCAGTTTCTTTGCAACTCTCCCCTTTCGCCTGCCTGGCAGCAAGGAGCCCCGCCCCCAGAAAAGAGAGAAGGGGGGCAAGAGGCCCCAATCCTGGCACAGTGTAGTGTGAAAAGGGGCTTTTAAAAAGAAGTCACACGCCATGCAAGCATCAAAGAAGGCGCTCCGTCCTTTTTCCTTGGGGTTCACGGTGGGAGGAGCCCCCATCACCCTTTGAGAGACCGAAGATTACTCCCAGCAGTGCTGCAGGGTAGGCCTCCTTAGGGCCTTTGAAGTTTGGCTTTGGGGGGGAGGGGGGAGGCGTACCAGCGAGGCAGAAAAGATGGATGGACAGAAGGCAGTGGAGGCAACTTTTTCACTCACTCTCTTCACCACCCCCCCAAAAAACCCCAATGGGGTGTTGGGGCCTGGGGTGGTGGTCTGTATATGCTCAGAGGCATGCCTTCCCTGCATGCAATTCCAGTTACAGAGCTATGAAAAGAGAAAAGGGAGCTGCATGTGGGGAGAAAGTGTGGCCTGAACTGCAGGGCTGCTGTGAACCCCCTATCACCAACCCACCTCTCAGCCACATGCACCAAGCACCAAGCTGCCTTAGGGGCAAAATGAGAGTGGACTACACCATATGGCTGTTGTAAACTCTTCTCAGCCACAATCCTCCTCCAAACCACAAAAGAGCATAATAATACAAGTAATCTACACAACAGGGTTGTCTATGTTACTCCCTCAGGCTGCCCACCATGCAGTATAGACTAGAGCAGACTACATGGCAGGGCTGTTGTAGTCCACTGTCACCCTCTGCACCTTAAAAAAAAAAGACACACCTTAAAAAAAAAGAATCTCAAAGATAAGGTTTTGAAGTGTTATTGCTGTATGGATTTTCTATTATTCTTTTTTATTTGTGGTTAATTGTGGGAATTAATGGTAAAGAAACAATAGGGGAGCTCCAGCAGCTGACCCAAGATGCTGGGTGTTTCTGGCGCTGGAGCTAGGCTTGATGTGGGAAGGACCTTTGTTAAGGTTGAACAAAGGCTGCTGCGTGGATAAAATAAACTTTATGCAAGGCAGTACAGTGGTACCTCGGGTTACAGACACTTCAGGTTACAGATGCTTCAGGTTACAGACTCTGCTAACCCAGAAATAGTATCTCGGGTTAAGAACTTTGTTTCAGGATGAGAACAGAAATTGTGTGGTGGCAGTGCGGCGACAGTGGGAGGCCCCATTAGCTAAAGTGGTACCTCAGGTTAAGGACAGTTTCAGGTTAAGAATGGACCTCCAGGATGAATTAAGTTCTTAACCCCAGGTACCACTGTAACCTCAACTAACGTTTTCTGCTGATGGAACACATAGCATGGCAGGACTTCTGGGGCAGCCAACTCCCCCAGGTTGGGATTGGCAAAGCTCTCTGATTTAGTCATCTTGTCAACTGAAAACAAACTAGCGAAAGGAATTGATTTTGATGATGTGATTTCAAAATTTGCAGAGAACAAAGTTAGGGAAAAAAAGGTTTTAAGTGCTAATGCTCACAATGTTAAGTAAATAAACCAGAAAACAACACTTTTCACTGTGAGTATCTTATTTCTCCTTCTTTTAAGAATTGCGGGGGGGGGGGGGACACAAGAAATTTTCTGCACCGGGTACCATCTGACCTTCCTACGCCACTGCTCCTGTGGCACGGACTTCCCAGGACGGTGGCAGGTCCCCCCCTTAAAAAAAGGTTGACAACTCTGGGAAACGGGGGGGGGGGGGCGCACACCGGAGAGACAATTACACCACAGCATCGGATATGCTTAAGACGGCCCTGCAAGGGATTTCTCAAAAAAAGTTATTACAAATAAGGGACACTGGGTTGAATAGGGCAAATCTACAGGAGGCTGCAGTCCTATAGTTACTTACCTAGGCATAAGTCTCACTGAACTTAAATGAGTCCAGTTCTGAGTAGACATGCAAAGGATTGTATTGAAGGAGCTTTAGTTCTCTCACAGCAACTGGTTGTAGCATATAACATTCCTGGTGAACTCTTGCAGGTCAACATGCAGAGCTTGCCACATTGCCATTTTTTAAGTGGGAGGTGTGGGATAGCAGCAAAGATCACTGTGCATCTGCAGAACTTAAATATATTGGTTTTCTGACTCTGGTGCAACAGCAGCAGCTACCTAACACTTACCAGCAACTCCCAACAGCTGAGTTGCTGGTGCTTACACTTGAAAACAGTGCTTATTTCTGAGAAGACATATAGAGGATTGACCTGTTAGTATGATAACAACAACGTATAAAATTTGGATCATAAACAAAACAATCATGGTTTTTGAATTTTATATATTTGTATTTGAACACCAGTGATTTGCAGTGTGGATAATGAGTAATACTGGGGAAGCAGCAGCTGAAAGAAGAGATGAGAAGTAAATACATTCCAAATGGTCAGGGTGGCTGGGTCTTGCTGCATCCAATAATCTAGCTTGCTTCCTGCACAAATTAGGTGCTCGCTCCCTGAGTCATGAAGAATTAGTTGCACAGACTCCAAAATGCTTTTCTTCTCAGCAGATTGAGCCAGGCAGTCTCTGAAGAGAGCAAATAGTTCCAGCAGGCAGTCTTTTCAATTTCTCCAGGCAATTTTACATCAAACTACTTGGAATGTGACCTTGTGCAAAAGGGCCTGTTAATGGGAACACAACTGTCCTACGCAGTGTGGTTTTACTTTAACACCTAAACTTTCAGAGTGGCTTATGCAAAACTCAACATACTATCCTTATTAAATGTGTTATTCTGTATGAACTTCCAGAATACCTGAATTATCATGGATTTCTCCAACTCTTGAGGATCAGTAGTATTAACTTTCTACTCAATGGATGTCACAGACCCATTTGATGTGGGGAGAACTGGGTAAATATATAATTCAGCAGAAGTCAGCCTCCCCAGTGAGGAAGTGCAAAGCAGGGGAAAGAGCCTCCCCTCCCCCACCCTCAATCAAGTCCAGCTGAGCAATTAGCCTCTCCCAGGCCATGACTTCAAGCAGGGCTTTTTCAGCTGGAACTCACCAGAACTCAGTTCCAGCACCCATCAGGTGGGTGCCATTTATAACAAAACAAGGGAGGTGTTAATGGTAAATTCCAGCCCCTCTTTTTCTAGAAAAGTAGCGCTGAATTTAAGAACAGCAGAAGCAGCTGAGAAGGGAGAAGAGGAGTTCTGGGATTTAAATAATCATTTTGTGAGTTGTCTGTTTGTTTTTCAATTTGATCCTCTTACATAGTTTTGTATGTATTGTGGTATTTTATAAATTGTGACTTGCAGTTATTTTTATTTATCATAGTTTAATAATTATATATTGTAATGGCTAAGTGTGAATTTCTGTTTAATTATTATTTGCTGATGTTCTGAGTTTATTTTATTGTGTACTATTCTAATAGATTATTGAATATTAGTTTATTTGATACAAGTTGTTCCATTTTAAAGTTAGGTTTTATTATGACTTGTTGTTTTGAATCAGATTATTGTAAGGTGTTCTTTGTAAACCGCCTTATGTATAGTAATATTGAAAGGTGGTATACAAGTTAAAAGTGAAGTGAAATGAAATCCTCAGTCAGTAGAGCATGAAACTTTTAATCTCAGGGTTGTGGATTCAAGCCCCACATTGGACAAAAGATTCCTGCATTGCAGGGGTTTGGACTACATGACCCTTGTGGTCCTTTCCAGCTCTACAATTCTGTGATTCTATCCCGTAGGGTATTAACGTACCCAATTAATATTCAAAAGCTGGATTTTTATTTCCAGTGCTAGCAGCAATTTGGCATTCCACATTTGATCATAATATCTTTCCAGACATATGCTGTTTCCCCTTGCCATGTTGTATGAATAAAGTCCCTCCCTCCCGTAGGAAGGAAAGATTATCCTGCAAACCAGCAAAACGCTTAAAACTATGCTAGAGGACATGGAACATTAGTTTTAGTTAGGATTTTGAACATGAGTTTTGACCTTCCAAATATGCTGCAGTACAGGTACCATTCACTGGAGAAATCTGCATAGACAACGTGCTTTGAAATTTTAAATGTTTAAAGGCTTTGAACAGGTGGCTTTGAATGAGTATTGCATCCTAAGAGTGATAAAGAGTACAGCGTAAATGAGAGTGATGAAATGGTATAGATGAATTTAATGAATAATCTGCTTTTGCATTGGGATTTTTGATTGCACAAAAGTCAAAGTATTTCCTGGATACACTTTTAATGGTGGAGCAGAATCTGAAAATAAGGATGGAAATGGAATCTGATTTCTGTGACTGCTTTCATCTCGGATCAGACCCAGATTCCCATTGGAGAGCCATTAAATAAAAAATGATGTTTCAACTAGCCAGGTTACTCCAGAACTGCCCTACCTTCCCAAACTTACATAATTGAGGGAGTGTTTCTAGAGAAACCTTCCCACAACAGCTTCTTTTCCAGACTTACTGGTATAATACCTGAAGCAGTATTGGGTTTTATGCTACATGCCTGAAGACTGAAGCAGTGGGCTGCATGCCTGAGGTGGTGGGCAGATATGTGTGTCTAAACACTGAGACCTCCCCCCCCCTTTTTTTTTTCACTTTTCAGGATATTTCCCCAATAGCATGTTCCATTCTGGTAAAGTTGGGGAAGACAAAGCATTGGGGGGACTCTCAGGAAATGCTTCAGTGTAAGGAGTTCTGGCTTGTGGCTTTGGATGCTGCCACGATTCTGCCCACTTATGTTATAGGTTATAAAGGGGCAACTTGGCCAAATAGCACATATTGCTGTATATTTTTATATCTAGTAGCAGACAAATAATATGAACTGATATGGGTGCATTTTGTTTTTCTTAAGCTGTTATGGCCTTTGAAGCTTAAACAATTAGAAAATCACATCGGATGTAATTGAGAGAGGCAGTAATACAGTGGATAAGAACGCTGAAGTGCTAGGTTTAGTTCTACTTCAACATTTTTCAAAGAAAAAAAAGTTTGTTTCATCACACTTTTCACTGACAGCTAAGGTTACAATTTCTAAGACAAGGCATGCTGTGATGTGTCCCAAGTCATTTTGTAATGAAATAGCACTACCTGAAGGCTTGTTAAAAGGATGAACAGCAGGTGGGGAACCTGAAGCTTTCTAAAAGCATGCAGGAAAGTTATTGAAAAATAAAATTCAAGCTGAAAATTCATGAACTTGAGTAAGACTTTAAGAGAAGCAAGCTGTCAACCCTAGTGTTTCTGAAGCAACACTAATCCAACATACATATTCCTATTCTCCCAAATCCATGGGATGGATCCATAGGCAGATGAGCAAAACTCTGTGCATGCAACAGGGCTTTCCTGACTCCTCCCTCATTACAGACTTTTGCACCTTGAAAAGCCACTCCTTATAGGGCACGAATGGTTGGAACGGGATAGGGAAATTGCACAAGGAGAAGATCCTTCTGTATGCACAAGAATTCTCTCGATCTGAGTCTGTGCATTTTCCAGTGGTGTTAATGGCAGCTGTATGTAGGAATGGGGCTGAGTGGGATTCAATTTAATTCACATTTGAAGGTAAAACTACCTAAATCAACTTTCCAAAGAAATACATGAACCAAAATGCAGCAACTCTTCGAAATTCACATTTCACTGAGTTTGCAGTGCACTTCTCCAGCCAAGTAATGCACACAAGAAATCATGTTTTTGGGTAAAGTGTGCATTAAAATGCATATATTAGTGAAAACAACATAATTATAATACGAAACATTGGAAAAATGTGTATGTTAGGCAAAAGTGTGAACAAAAATATGTATAGAATAAATTCATCCTAAAATATATTATTTTATTAACAGTATTGCTACGAGTTTGTCATGGCCATAAACTTATGAACTAACTAAGAACTAAGATTTAAACAATAAAATGCCAATGGATTTTCATGAGAGTTTTAAAAGCAACAGCAACGCTGTTTTGGAAGTACAAAGAACTATACTAAGATTGTGAGAATAAGAAAGTGAAACCAAAATGGATGGATTGGCCCATCCGCAGTTATGCACTATGCATATTTCACTGAGGAGTCTTGACTTGCTATCACAACAGAGTGCCTCCAACTCCAGAAGCAGGAGGCAGACACCATGGAAAGAGATAACAGCCCCACAATGCCCCCATTCTGGAGAAAAACAAAACAAAACATAAAAGGGGATTTGAGGAGTGGCCCAGAGTCCCTTCCCCAGCAGGTACATGTGCCTCATGATCTATTCCTCCAGCATAAAAAAAAGTCTTAACAGCATACCTTTACTAAGCCACCACCACTCTGCCTTTGCAGAATGTTCTGCTCAGTTTACGTGTGGTGCAGAAAAGAACTTTGCCATTATAATTTTCTTCATAAACTGCATTCTCCACTAATGAATCAGTGCTCAAAGTTTCACAGAATAAATACAATAATAAATAAATACAATAACACAGTATCAATATGTAGTAAGCCATGTAATATCACAGCAACATAACACTAAAAAAATTCAACACATAACAATTCATTTGACATAAATAAACATTTAACTAAACATATATCTATTTATTAAGCAACAGTTGTCCTTCTGGCAGCATCTCCCTTCTGAACGCTCCTAGGGCTGGAGGATGGGGCAAGGCAGGTGGAAAAAAGCCACCCCCTGGTGTCCAGCACAAAGTCTCTCACTCCTCCCTGCTTTCTACTCAGGTTTTCAAATGTGGTTATTGGTTACTTTTAATGGCAGTTATTGGCTACTTTTGCATGCCACACTGACAACTCACAGTGGGTGAAACAGCTGCGTACAGTAACCTGGCAGCCTTGTCTGTACTTGTGTGTGCAGCTTGATTAACGTTAACCCGGCTTGTTGGTGTAAACACTCATATGGTGGTTGTTGTTTAGTCATTTAGTCCTGTCCGACTCTTCGTGACCCCATGGACCAGAGCACGCCAGGCATTCCTGTCTCATATGGTAGAATCCATCAACTCAGAGTGGTTCAAACATGGAATTAAAAGCACATTCAATCCAGCTTTCCTTTTCCCCTTTTTTAAAGAGCCAATTTCTATTTCTTAACCTCACTGTTCTGCAAAGAGAAGCATATTTACTGGGAAGGAAATATCCTTTGTGCCCTCTAAATATTTCATGTATCTCTAGCAACTGGGATTCATTTTAATACGGTTTGAGTAAAACATCAATATGAATTTGATTTAGATCAAAGTGATGTATTGCCCAGGCTGCCATGGAGTAAATAGATCAACTTTTTTTCTTCCTTCTGATACTGAAAGGAATTGCTTGTCCTTTATTTATCTCTGCCAATGATACAGTACATAGCCAAGTGAGCAGAAACCACCTTTGAATCTGATTAGGGGAGAAATTGCCTCACAAGTTGTAACTTTGATGAATTGTTAAAGAAGAGAATGATATCCTCCATACATTAAATTCCTGTTGGAAGGTATTAATTTGATATCTTTATTCCCAATTATGGCATGGTTCCTGGCATTGTCTTGGAAGTCACATGGTGATGCAAACCTTTGCAAAGCTAAGCTAAGCATGACTGACTCTGTCTGCAGCCTGGATGGGAGATCACCTGGAAATAAGTCTCGTGATGGGACTTATTTCTGAATAAACATGCACAGCTGGGGTTCCCAACATGCTGCCCAATGGCACAGCATCACCTTCAGACACCCCCCTTGTCACCTACTAAGGCCCCCTGTCACTCCCATTTTTGAAATAGTTAAGTGAAATGGGGGTTGTTAACATTTTTGGTTGTTTGGGGGCCTTTTTATTTAGGAAGGACTGGTTTTTTTTGTTTATGCTTTATTTTGGGTGTGTGAGTAGGTTTTTGCCTTTTGTTTTGTGAAATGGGTACTTTGTGGTGTCCATGACAGTTCCTTAGATTTCCAGATGTGCTCTTGAGCCTAAAGAGATTGAAGATCCCTCATGTACAGGATTTCACTGTACACAAATACAGTACAAAAAGGGGAAAGTGAGAATAACAAATGTGAATCTTTAAGACAAGTCATATTCTGTATGTCTAATTCATTTATATGCAATGGAAATAGTTATATAAGGAGTTGGATGCATATCCAGGGAACTTGGCTTCAAGTACCCAATCATTCAGTGACAGTATAAAAGGTCTAAAGATAAATTACAGAAATTAGTCATTGTGGCTCCATTCAATGAGCATCTTCTGTTCGACATCATTGCAGTCTAACCAAAATGAATTTTGAGGTAACTTGCATTCAGTGGCCAACATATTTGTACTGACTTCTAAAACATCAGATCATTTGGGATTTTGTTAATATACTCTGGTGCCCTTTGTGTAGCTAGTACAGCAAAAGTGGACAAGGAAAGAGAGGAAGTCTTATAGACAGCATGGCGGCTCACGGAATGCGGTGGCACCTACCCTCTTACTGAACTCATAATTAAAACCATTTAATTTTCAACATATAACAAATGCTTGCTGAATAAAATCATTTCCCTGCAGCCCATTCTTAAAGAGGGCTGTTTAAACATTCTGCTATACAGACAAAAATACAAGGATCTGCATAGATTATAGGAAGAAGCCAGTTTAATTTCTTTTACAGGAGGGGGAAAAAAAACCCTTCTCATTTATCTCCTGAAGATAATAATTCTTTGAGGTAGAATGTTTTGTGTTAAGCACCTTTTAAATAAATGTCCTTGCCAGGCAGTAACAGGCCAATTTGACTTATTGGAGAAACAATAGAAACATCAATCACCACCATGAGCACAATGGAAGGAATGATATGCCTCCTGCTTTCAAACATTAACCAGTGATGTCTTCTCATATGAGCTCTGTTCCCATCATTTACAAGTTGCATGAAAGGCCATAACCACTTGGGGGGTGTTGCTTAACAATTACCCAGGTGTTCCTATGGGAGGACAGTATTTCAGCAACAATGAATGGTAAATTCCAATCAATGCACATGCACGCACACTGCCACATTTACTCATGTAATGGGTTACTGCCAAGAAGCATTTTAGAATCCAGTTATCAGATGTACCCTCATGGTGTTTACTGTCTCCTTCACCTCAAATTCTGAAATATGCTCCATAAGTACTATGTTTTTATGCCACTCTCAGTGGCAGAATTTAGTCCCATATGTGAGACATCTGTAACTGGGCCTCTTAACATTTTAAAAAAACAATTTTTAAAAAAACTTAGATACAGGAGGCTCCAATTTTTATCAGAGTAGCAGTGATGGGGATAGTTTGTCTGTCAGATCTGTTTGCCTAATCTATTTTCCCCTCCACATCTGTTGCTAGCCCAGGTGGGTGGGTGGACTTGCTTCACGCTTTTATTTTCCCCCAGGGACTAACAGCAGGTTTGGAGTGGATTAATATCAGTAAAATGGCAAGGGAGAGAGGGTTAAACTCCTAGCCAATGCTCTGATCAAATTTGGAGCCCCCAAATATTGGATCATATATCTTTTGCATCGCATCTGTTTCAGTCATAACATAAAAAGTAACCTCTCATATACATAGATTGACTGGAGCTATCTGCTGTTTCAGAAATAATGGATTGCTTGTGCAAAGCTAGGAATGAGTAAGCACCATGGTTTTGAAAACTTACACATCAGTCATTACAGGCCAGTTAATGTCTGTCCTTATTTACTGGATGTCACATTTTTAAAGATAAAATGTATTTTTGGAAAAGAATCAGTAGGGCTGCTGCAAACGGAAGTCTTACCTCGCTAATCTTTTTTTTTTTTTAAATATTAAGATTTTCAAAATATTACAAAACAAAAACAAAAAAAAGAAAAAAGTACAAAAATAAAAATGGCTAAAAACAACTCAATCTTTCAATTACTTATTTTTCATTAGCTTATTTCCCGGACCTCCTCACGCCTCCCTTTTTTGTATTCCAGTTCAGTTTGTTGGTTCAGCAAATCCTTACCCTCTTTGTTTATCCTAGTCCTTAATCTTAAAGTATTGTAACGTTAAATTTTTACCTATTAATAATCCATTTTTCATATTCCCTTATAGTATTACAGCTGAAAACCACTTAATTTCTATCCAACATCATTATAACATTCATTAATTTTACAATATTTCTGTAAATAGTCCTTAAATTTCTTCCAATCTTCTTCCACCGACTCTTCTCCCTGGTCTCGGATTCTGCCAGTCATTTCCGCCAGTTCCATATAGTCCATCGCCTTCATCTGCCATTCTTCCAGCGTGGGTAGATCTTGTGTCTTCCAATACTTTGCAATGAGTATTCTTGCTGCTGTTGTGGCATACATAAAAAGAGTTCTGTCCTTCTTTGGCACCAATTGGCCGACTATGCCCAGGAGAAAGGCCTCTGGTTTCTTCAAGAAGGTATATTTAAATACCTTTTTCAATTCATTATATATCATCTCCCAGAAAGCCTTAATCCTTGGGCACGTCCACCAAAGGTGAAAGAATGTACCTTCAATTTCTTTACATTTCCAACATTTGTTATCGGGCAAATGATAAATTTTTGCAAGCTTGACTGGGGTCATGTACCACCTGTATATCATTTTCATAATATTCTCTCTTAAGGCATTACATGCCGTAAACTTCATACCTGTGGTCCATAACTGTTCCCAGTCAGCCATCATTATGTTATGTCCAACATCTTGTGCCCATTTGATCATAGCAGATTTCACCGTTTCATCCTGAGTATTCCATTTCAACAGCAAGTTATACATCTTTGACAAAATCTTAGTTTTGGGTTCTAACAGTTCTGTTTCTAATTTTGATTTTTCCACCTGGAAACCAATTTTCTTGTCCAAATTATATGCCTCCATTATCTGATAATAAAAAAGCCAGTCTCGCACTTTGTTTTTTAATTTCTCAAAACTCTGCAATTTCAGTCTATCTCCATCTTGTTCCAAAATTTCCCAATATTTCGGCCATTTGGCCTCCATATTGAGCTTTTTCAGAGCTTTCGCTTCCATCGGTGACAGCCACCTTGGGGTTTTATTTTCCAATAAGTCCTTATATCTTATCCAAACATTAAACAATGCTTTCCTGACAATATGGTTTTTAAATGCTTTATGTGCTTTGACCTTATCATACCACAGATATGCGTGCCATCCAAATACATTGTTAAAACCTTCTAGGTCCAAAATGTCAGTGTTTTCAAGAAGCAGCCATTCTTTCAACCAGCAAAAAGCTGCTGATTCATAGTAAAGTTTGAAGTCTGGCAGGGCAAATCCACCCCTTTCCTTTGCATCAGTTATTAAATTTTATTCTAGGCTTACCTCGCTAATCTTTTGCAGTTCTTTAGAGGTGTCAGTATCCAAGCAAATAGGGAGATTTGGTAGATGTTATATACCATAACTAAACTTCCAATAAGTTTTTGACAAAGTCCCTCACATGGTTGTCCCCTACCCATTTTATCCTCAGAACAACCTTGTGATGTGGTTTAGGCTGAGAGACAGTGACTGGTCTAGGGATGTATGAACATTCCTGAATTCCAGCATTCACTCTCACTTTTCTCTAGTATTTTCCATTCCACAGCTATTAGCTTATTTTGCAAAAGCTTGTTTTTCCTTATGTTGACCACTGATGTAGAAATATATGTGTTTTATTTAATGTTGTTGTTGTTCTTTATGGAACACACAATAGAGAAAGATATCTTAGCTATCTAACAAGGGCTCATTGGGAGTTGTATTGACTGGACACAAGGAAATCCATTTGATAGTCCATTTTCAGCAGATTCCTCCAGCATTCCTAGATCTCCCAGGGGCCTAGGGTCTCCCAGAAAGCTTCATTGATGAGTGGGGATTTGGATCCTGGTCTTCCCAATCCTATTCCAGCACTCAAACCTCTACACAACACTGGCATAGAGTACATGAGTAGGTGCTTTTCTCACTCTCGTAATATTATAAATTTATTCCAGTCAATAAAATGGGTTGCAGTAGATTCATCACATTCAAAATGAATTACTTTTCCACACAATGCATAATTAATTTCTATAATTCATTGCCACAGGATGTAGTCATGACCAGTAGTTTAGATGGCTTTAAAGAGAAATTAGACAAATTCATAGAGATCAAGTCTGTCAGTGGCTTTTGGCCATGATATCTATATAATATCCATGTTCAGAGGCAGTAAAGGACTGAATATCCATTGATGAGGAGGAAATGAAGTGGAAAGGAGATTTCTAGAGGAATCCGATTGGCCATGTGGGAAATGAGATATTAGACTAGATGGACATTTGATCTCATCCATCAGGGCTTATGTTCTTATGATAATTCCTAGGTATACAACTGATATTTCTGCCAATATAAGCTTATAGGGAAATCAGACTGTTCAGTTTCACCTCATCTCTGCTCACCTGACTCTACATACTTTTTTTTAAAAAAAGGAATCTATTTTCTAGGGGTAATTAAGTTCAGCAGCCACAGAGGTGTAAGGTAAGAAGATACATAGCAGTTGATCAGGCTCTGATGTTTTTTGGATGACATTTTTGTTTTGCTCCATTGCCTGAACTCATTGATCTCTGCAATTGCACTGTTTTATTGTCCTGAAGTTGCATGCACAGTGAGCACCAGGCAAGGTCACCGAAGAGCATGTTTACTATCTTGTCTTAAAAGCTCTTTACTTCTCTTAAAAGCTCTTTACTACTGTGTAGATAATTATGTCTGAAGAGCACATAAGCCAGGATAATGGTTTGCTTTGGTGGCTTTCAAGAGAAGTGGCTGCAACTGGAAGAAAACGAATGAACGAAAAATGGAGGAGTCTCAATTACATAAAGCTGAGCTATGCTGCAGAAATTCTGTTCTCACATAAATGTAACCTTGATTAGCCTATAAATCCTTAGTTTGGTGCCTAGAAAACTTATCAGAAGCAGTAAGATCTGAAATGGCAGCAGAATTTCTCTAGCCCTTAAATGTTACACATCTTCCAAGCATGCCCCCCACAGTCTAGCAGAACTTGAATGAAGGATCAGGCAGGATATGTTGGGAGCCACCTTTTGAGAGGCACTTAGAGCCATCCTTGTTTGCATAGGAAGATCCTGTTGACAAAGAGCTCACCAGTCCCTCATCACCAACTTTTCTAACTTATCTACTTTTTCAGAGTAGAGCAATTTAGATGATCACAATTATATTGTCCAACTCATTAATAACCAAATGTTTCCTGATAATTTTCAACCATACTGAGGGCAGGTTGTGTCTCTTTAGAGAATGTATTTTTAAATGTATCTTTCAGACAACAATTTACACTTGGCACACAGCCACATTCTGAATCCCTTTCTCTACTTCAGACATTGGGGGCAAGCTAGATGTGCCATGAAACATGTTGATAATATAATTTTATTATTTATACGCCACCCATCTAGCCTTTCTTGTGTTATCTCCTTTTTAAACAGCAGTCACAGGGTTTCAGAGGGATGATCCAGAAAAAGACAGTGGTGTGTGTGTTTGTATAACCCTATCCTCCTGCCTTGCACTTTCCCTACCAAAAACCACATCCCTTGTTCTTGCAGTGATGCATTTGTGGGCAAGCAACAGCTTTGGAAGGGGTTAAAAACCTATCTCCCAGCAGTGGCTAAGGCCCATTTGCACTGATAGGGTGGAATGCAGGGAGGCCAACAGATGGTGGAGCCAGAACCAAAGACAGGTAGAGCCCACTAATCTGAGTTTACTCCCTCCCTTCCTCCCCACTGAGTTGCACCTAGGCAACACTGAGAATGAGGAGGAGGATGCTGACAAGCAGTGTCACGTTCCAGACTTGCTGTAAGTAAGAAAGCAGGCAGGCTGGCTGGAGACAATGAGGTTGGTGGGGTAGTGCCTCACTTTCTCTAAGGGATCAACCACCATTGTTCTCTCCACACTGTAGTCCCGATCTCTGTTATTTAAAAAGAAAAACCCACAAGAGACACCAACATTATAAATGGTGCTTCTAGCTTAGCCCTAAGGATAGAGCTACACATTATGTGGAACACGAGGGTGGTGTTGAGTTTCCCCGCATAGCATGCAGCTTTATTCATTGATTGACTGACCACTTTTAGACCAGTTTTCATTACAAAAGAACCATAGAGTGATTTACTACATAATATCTAACAATCTATTATACAAAGAAGCAACCATAAAACAACAAAGAATTCTAGTGAATATTACAACCACCACAGATAACAGCAGTGGTCCAACTCATCCCAGATCTTGAATAGCCTAGACTTTATCAAATTCATAGGAGAACAGATGTTGGAGTTTCCCATGCCCTTGAGGTGAAGATAATTCCACAGCTAAGGGGGCATTACTGCCATTATAATTTACGTTGTGGTTTGTGCACCTGCCATTGCATGCTGCTTGATATCCCTGCCATGTTCAGGGAAACGCACATTACGAACATAGGAAGCTTCCTATTGGTCCATCTAACTTGGATGTGTCTGTACTGACGGGCAGTGGCTCCAAAGGGTTTGAGACAGAAGTCTTCTCAAGCCCTGCCTGAGACAGGCATTTTTATTTCACCTGGAGTACTAACGGTAAAGGTGATGAAAGAAGGCTGTGCTATGTATGTATTGCGGTACCTGTCAACGGTGGTGCTACAAAGCAAACTCCGCTTTCAGAATATGGTCAGTTCATGGTTCATTCGAACACCTGCATATTTCTTTTCAAACAACATGAAATCTGGATTAATGACAGCACACATCTTCTGTTATAGCTGATCAAGACTGGCTTGTGTTTCATTGAGGTATAATATATCGCTCTATCTGGCCATAATTGCCCTTAAAGCAACAATTCCTCCTGCTTGCCCATTTGTCAGA